CCGGCCCATGGAACTCCTCAGGGCACTTCTTGAGGACCTCACGTGGCTCAAAACTTTTATGAGGGTTTTGGAAGCAGCTCCACACCATAAAGAATGCTCTTGGTCTACTACAACATGCGCCGAGGGAACAAGATGATTGTTCAGAAAAAAAAGCTCACTTCTTATTTCCGGTTTATCTTTATTATACATGTTTAAAAGGACTGTCACAGTTGCCTCTTTGAATGGGGAAATCTTGGCATGAGGAATTTTCTCCTGGTCCACCCCAGGAGGTCTCCGGAGGCCTGTGGTACCTCAGTAGGTGAATCATTTATAGGCAATTCTGTGATAATTATCCTCTTATTTAAGTTTAAAGTGTGGGGAAAAAAGATTAATAATCTAAAACCAACAAATCCAGAAAAGAACTGCTGGGGAAACACCCAGGAAGAGTGAAATTTACATTGGATGTGAGGCTGAGGCTGATCTGTCTGCCTACAACTGTCGCCCCCATATTGTCAGGGTTGAATCAGCTAATTGGCTCTTCCCTGCTCTCACATTGCAAAAGCAAACAATGATTTTGGTTTGCGGTTTGATGCAGAAGTAACTTTCTTCATGAATGATTGAATGAAGGGCCGCCTTGACTTCTTTTTCAAGGGGAATGAAGATAAAAAGTCACATACTGAACCCAACTTTAGACCACTGTCTTTGGCCACTGTCAGCTTCTCTAGGACTGTATTGCCCCAGTTATTCTGTGCCATTGCATGCAGCCTCTTAGAATGAAATAAAATTAATACTTGTGAAAGTATTGTTGATTGTTACATTAAAATGTCCGAAAAGACCAGGCCAACATAATTTAAAAAGTGTCAACTAGGTTTAAAGAATCAGTCTTGAAGATGAACTGCTGGATAGCTCAGTAGTTTAGGCCTTTGGCTGCCGAGTCAGGGGTTGGATGTTTTATTCCCCACTTGTGTCTGCTTGGCAAGGGCTGGACTTGATGACCCATAGGGTCCCTTCAACCTCTGCAATTCTAAAATCATAATTATGTTCCAGAAGTGATATTTGACACCAGTGAAATTATCATTTCCAGCACACCTCGTCAAATCTCTTGAGTTAGCCCTACGATTATTTTGTGCAATAGACAATGCAAATCTACTTTATAGACTTTTAATGAGCTACTTGTTAATTAGCCAAAATAGTTATTGCTAAATTTTGGAGGAAGCTTCAAGCTACAACTTGATAAAGTGAAATAGGGTGGGTTGGCTTATAGCACTGGTTCCTAAAATTTTCAACTCCTAGCTTCCTTCACTCACTGGCTTTGGCCCCCAAAATAAGACTTTCAGTTACTGGAGAGAATCAGCCCAGCCTGATTAGTACTGCCATTTTTTTCCTCCTGAAAATAATGTATAGTTATAGAATGTAACAAAATGAAAATATAACATTTGTTTAATAAATGTTTGATTGGTTAAGAAACAATTTAATACAGTATGAGTTTTAAAATGCTTTCCTAGGCTTAAAAACCTTCTTAGAAATTGAGATTAACCACACAACAAAACTAAAAATTTAAACCTGTAGAATTTTTTTTTATTTTCATGAACAGGAAAATAGTCTAAATTTTAGAGAGCTAGAAAATGGCTACATTTCTATTAAATATCCTAGTGAGATGGATTTGCTTATTTTTCTTTACGTTACACATCAAATCTTGCCGCTATGGAGATTGCAACACACATTTCTTGTTCAATGTTATTTTGACTTGATCACAGGATCAAAACATACAATGCTCTCTTATTTATCACCGGGTATTCACCTTCAGTTTGGCACAAAAGCTCAATCAGTGGTGAAGATCTGAACCTTACTGCCAAGGTTTCCTCTAAGGAAACCTTCCCTCTGAGCAGCTTTCATCCTTGACTGTTTTCAGCCCCTTTGGTTCAGGTCACAAAGGAACTCCATGTGTATGTGGGGGGGGGGCAGAGCCCCAACCAGTGGGGCTGAAAATTTGAGCATACATAGCATACTGCTAATGTTGAGTCAGTAGAAATGTCAATGAGTGGTTCTGCTTCCTTGTTGAAATGCTTTCAGTACTCCAGACCATCCTTTCAGCCCAAAATCCAATCTAATCTATCTGGCATCTTTACAGGAGGGCTCCGTTGAATTTCATTCTGTTGTTTTCAGCCCAGTGCTCCAGCCTGTCCAGATGATAACTTTCAGCCCCATGGAGTCTCAATTGTGGGGTTCCACAGGGGTCGATCATCTCCCCAATGCTGTTTAACATCTATATGAGGCCGCTGGGTGGGGTCATCAGGGGATGTGGAGCATCGTGCCATCAATATGCTGATGACACCCAGCTCTATATTTCCTTTTCACCAACTGCAGGTGATGCCGTCCTGTCCCTTCAGCACTGCCTGGGGGCCGTACAGCAGTGGATGCAGGAGAACGGGCTGAGGCTGAACCCGGACAAGACGCAAGTTCTGAGGGTGGGTGGCCCTGTGGATGGTGGCTTGGGAAACTCCCTCATGTTTGGGGGGGTGGCCCTGGCTGCGAAGAGTAGGGTCCCCAGCCTGGGGATACACCTGGACCTGATGCTCACCATGGAAATGCAGGTGGCATCGGTA